TTTATCATCACTTTTGATTCAATTTTAAGCATCTTTGCCAAATAAGTGTTCATTTCTGTAATTTCTTTCCCCCAAAAAATAATAAATTATACTGACTCCAAGCTTTTGAATAGAATAGTGTTACAAAAACTTTATTTCAGATAAATGCTTATCTTTTGGATTTTTCTATTAATCAAAGAATCCTGAAAAAAAAAGTACTCTCCTGTTTTAAATATTGATAATCCGCACATTAGAATTATTTCTGAAGGATCATGTGACCTGAAGACTGGAGTACTAATACTGAAAATTTAGCTTTGATCACAGCAAGAAATTACATTTTAAAACCCATTCCAATAGAAAGCAGTTATTTTAAATGGTGAAAATATTTCAAAATTGTACTGTTTTTGCTGTACTGGATCAAATAAATGCAGCCTTGGTGAGCAGAAGATAATTCTTATATTAAAAAAAAGTAACAATCTTGCTGTTCAAAAACTTATGACTAGTAGTGTAGACTGATTATTATAGATTGAAACAAATGTGCTTCAGCCAGGAAAAAAGGGTATGAAAAGTGATCCCCTCTGCCAGCAGGAGGCACTTTTAGAGTGATAATGGCATGGCTGTAATCAAAGCATGAGCTACTTCATCAGATAAAAATGAAAGTGTCATAGAAACTTTTCTGAAGACAGTCGGTTCCCTTCAGAGATACGTTCACATAAAACACCCGTGCCGCGTTTTGATTTTGAAACGTGCAGTGCTCATGTTTATTCAACGAAGTCAAAAGCCACAAATAAATCAATGTATGGGAAACACTCTTACTGTATATCAGAAATTAAGTCATCAGTTATTGAAATGATCACAATATTGATTGAATTATTGTCCAGCCCTCATTTGAATATTAAAGCTCTTTTGTCTCTTAGGTAGTGTTGGCACAATGAGCTCTCACCAAAGACCTGGAACTCCCAAGGTACTTCTGTCGTTAGTAACTGGCAGTGACTTTTCTTTTGAGTTTTTATTAAGATTGCAAAATAAATGGCTCTCTTGTATTTGCAGTTTCAAATAGTTGCATCCCCGAGTCATCACCTTTTGCATTGATGTTTGTATCGGATTTTCAGTGATCTAAATAAATGTGATCCTTTTAAATGAAATTCTGCTTGGTCAAACTCTATGCGTCATGAACAAAGTTAATTGATTTATAAAACTTTATGGTGTTGGTATGTAAAGCTTAACACTCACAGCACTAGAAGTCGTGTTGGGTCAAGAGAATTTGTTAGTTCACTTAAAAGGCTTTTGTCACAACACCAAAAATGGTTACAGTGTGATTCGTCATGAGAAAATGTATCGCATTAATCTAATTTTGTTAATTGTGCATTAATTTCTCAATAGAAACTAACTTGTTTCTCTGAGCTAAGATTTGAACGAAGACAATTAAGAACAAACTGAGCTAAGGTCTACAAAGCACCAAGGTTATTTGCTACCCTTTAAAGGGCATTTTAAGTGTTTGGGGGGCAGATTCATGAATATTATAAATAAAACCTGGCTAGATGAGAAGCAGCCGCCCTCTCTAGATTTTCAAAGAGGAAGGCTAGAGACTGACCTGTAATTACGTTAAAGCAGCAGTTTGTAATAGAAAAAATGACCAGAGACCAGGTTTGTTGAGGCAGAATGTATTCTTGGCAGACATGTATCTTAATGCAGCTGAACACTCGGAGCTAGTTGCAAGTGGTGTTACAGTATACAAGGAAAACAATTAGCTTCCATTTCCAACCTTCTAAAGCAAATAGCTTTCAAAAACACACTACCTGTTGGAAGTACAGCTACTTAGACATCCATCTTAAACATTTGCATTGCATACATTCAGTCCAACAAATTTTTTTTTTATTGTCCATCTCATATTTTAAACCATTCAGTCCATTAGTCAGCTGTAAAGATCCGAGCTGCTATATCGTCAAGTAGCCAGTCCACACCTGTTAGCAGGTTCTCACCTGTAACAGCACTGCATCCCACAATGCACCAGTGATGGGTCTTAATGTCATCAAGGGTTAAAACCTGGACAACGTTCAGAAAACGGCATATTCACAAATTCCTCCAACAGCAAGGCAGTTTCATTAAAATACAAAGACTGACCCTGTTTAACAAAAGACTCACCTCTCGAATGGCATCTTTTGATAAAGCACCAGGTAGGTCCTGTTTGTTGGCAAAAACTAACAGAGTGGCTCCCGCTAATCGCTATTCAAGAGAAATGCATTAATTATAAAGTGTAATACATATTATAAAGCTCACACATTACACTTTATTGATTCAAAACTATGGCCTTATGTTCACAAAAAAAACAGATGCTAAGTAAAGAAATGTCAAAATCTGACCATTTAATTTCAAACTCTATAGGTCCAAGATATTGGTCCTCTCACCTCCTCTAGTAATAAAGCACTCAGCTCTTTCCTGCAGTCCTCCAGTCTCAATCTGTCAGCGCTGTCCACTACCCACACCAGTCCATCTGTACTCTCAAAATAATTCCTCCAGTATGATCTCAATGACTTTTGGCCACCCACATCCCAGATATTCAGCTTAAACCTAGTCTCGGTGTGAAGAAAAAGAGAAACAAAAATATTGCACTTGGTTATGTATCACAGTAACATTGATCAACAAACAGTTTGTATATCTGTACATTCTCTATCTGTGTGTGTGTGTGTGTGTGTGTGTGTGTATATATATATAGCCTTTTTGCCAATTAGTTTCATTAAAAGTTAGCATCTAATCATGCTCACTTATGCAAAACATATATAACACAACCAGACTTCAGCCGTACCCTCTGTGCTCGAGGGTCTTTATGTTGAAGCCTAATGTTGGAGAGATCATGCTGACATCTTCGCCGTTAAACTTCTTCAGGATGGTTGTTTTTCCAGCATTGTCAAGACCACCATAAAGAAAGGTTAAGGACCCACAACAGTCTTTAGCATCACGAGTAATGAGAACTGTACACTAAACGAGCCTCATTTGAGTAATCTGACCCTCGTGAATAGAGTAAGAACGTACTTTATTAAACATAAAAACAACAGCGGTTTAAAAAGAATATTGTTTTCCAATGTATTTGTATGAATACATTTGAATGCAGTTCTGTGAAAGGATACAGCATCAATAGACGCATTTCGCGCTCCTTGTGCTTCATCTTCTTCAAGATCGTCAGTAAACCCATCGCGAACGTTTAAGTATAAAACACTGAATTGATCTTGACCCGAAATAACACATTAACTATTGAAACACAAAATAATTTCCTAAATAACAGTGACACGCGTTTAGTGCAAGGCCATACTGGAAACAAGGAAGCGTTACTATGAGTTGACACAACACGTTGAAGTATGATTGGTTAGAGAGTGCGTAAAGATGGAGCTGAAGGAATATGATTGGCTGTTCTAGCTGTCATTCATACTTGGGCTTTTTCTATTGGTGAAGGAAAACCGCGGCAAGGGCGTGTCTGACTCTGAACGTTGTCGTAAAATCATTCAGCGCCCCCTTATGTGCATTTTCTAAACGTGAGCTGAAGTGAACTCCACCAAAACGATTTCTTGTAAAGTAGGTTCGTCTCAATTACTTTAATCTGACTGGTTGTTTTGATCGGTTGGTCATCCATGCTAGTTTTACCCTATTGTTATTTGAGTAGGACGGGAGAAGGTGCCCCCTTAAGAACAATGTGGATTTACTTTTAAATTGTAACATATTTAGATATAAGTTTAGCATGTGCAGGATGATGATGTATCAGCCAATGTGTTATTATGGGAACTAAACTCAAACAGTTGCTAACTTAATTGTTATAGCACAAAATGTCAAATATTAAAAGAGGGGTAAGATGGCCTGCTACTTTTACCCCCTAATAAACTTTTACAGAATGTATAGATGAATTTAGTTAATTCTTATTAATATTTATATTTTTAAGTGTCATTCATTAAAGAAAAACAACTATTCTATTTAAAATGTTATTTTGACAAGTTGAATAATTGAATAACTGATGACAAAGTAGAATCACAGTAAAAGACAACATTTTTTAATGATTTATATGCAAGCATATGAATATTTACATATTTAATTGCCCATATTTTAATTGAAAATATAATTGAAACACTATAAATGTAATGATTTTACTCAGTTCTAGTAAAGGTTTTAATGAAAGCAAAGATGTCTGAATTGCACATATGTTATCTGAAATAGATCTAATTTATGGAAAAAATTTAAGAATTAAAAAAATAATAAAAACTAGTAACAACATGCCACTTGGGGTCTTCTGTGCCAAAACCTTTGATATTCAACATCATACAATTTTATAGATCACTACAGAGACACACAATTAGACCAACTATCCACAAAACTATTTCGAAACGTCGAAATTCGTCGAAACGTTTCGAATTATTCAAAAGTGCTGAGATTAGATTTTGTGCCATCTATGGTCAAGGAAAAAAAGGGTGGAGCAGGTCATCTTGCTTGTTGTACTCAATCACTATTTAACATTTAACATTAGCTGCCAAATATTATAGTCTCTTAAGTAAGGGTGGAGTTTTACATTAAAGATAAAATAAAAATAATAATTACAAACAAGCAACCATAATAACATTAATACAGATAATCTTTGTATTAGTGGTGTTTATGGTCAATTACAAGTGTAAGAAAAAATAGTGAGAATATTGAAGATCTCAGTGAAGATGTTTATTGCAGCATTGTAAAGTATGGTACTAATAATAATAATAATACATTTGTAATGGTACAATCATCATTTTATTGTTTATATCTCATTATAAACAATAATATGATGAATCAAAAATACTGTGATCTAAAACGGAGAGGCAGTTTTAACATTAAGTGACATGACATCTGACCCACAGATGCCATTGGCACATGCCGCAATATGCTCAGTGACACTTCCGGTTTTCAGTGGCATGTTACAACTTTTACTTGTCTATAACGATATTAAATTTTTTTAATGTAATAATTTGATATATTTTGAACACTAGATATTCCAAACTGAACTAACCCCCTCCTCTATCCTGGTTTTAACAGATGGATTTCACTAACTTTGGAGTGGACTGGGATGGTCCTGTTCCTGCCATGGATTGTGGTGTTGTTGAAGTTCCTGAGGCCCCTGCATCGCTTCAGGAGGCTGTACAGCGAGAAGTCACTCAACACATCAATCCTTTAAAAAGGTCAAGTCAGTGGTTTGGCTTGGATGTTTATTTGGAGGCACTAAGACTCAGTGAAACAGTCACTGTTTAGGGGCCCCAAGCAGTTTAGCTGTTGGTGCCTTGTTAAAAATTGTATTTGTAGTGAATGGTGTTATCAGATAAGGAATCTGTTGTAAGCTGATTTAAAAAACAACAACATGAAAGTAACTTATACAGTTAACTAATGTGATGGTTACAAAAACATAAGTGTATGTAATTTTGAAATGTGTCCAAAATCTTCAGAACCAGTGTTTAAGCATGACAACTGCAAATCAAAAATGTATCTTTAAAGTTATGTATTTTGTCACCATGTGAACTTTGCAAAAACAGAAAAGGTCACTTTTTCAGAATATTGTACATTAAAGATAATTAGTCAAATCCACAAAAGCTTTACAGATCTTTATTGTAAAGTTGCTAAACAATGTTTTTCATGCTTCACGGTTAAAAATTTCCTGTAGAAATTACAGTAACTTACTGGCAGCAGTTCGCCAGTAACTTAATTAAACTTACAGTAAAAGTACTGTATTAATAATTACAGTACCATTTAACTTGCTGTAAATGTATTTACAGTATTTATACTGTACTTTTAGTTTTTACTGTAAAATATACAGTAATTTATGGTCTTTTCTTCAGTAACATATTGAAATACAAGATTGCTTATTTTAAAAAGAAATGACAACTGTGTAACTTTTACTTTTTTTAATTGTTCAATTGTAATCCTTGCAATAACATTTTAATATTTTCAGATTCAGTTAAGACTCAAACAAAACATTGTTACAAACTATTATATATATTACATACTATTCTAACTATTATAGGTAAAATTCTTAACATTTATCCTAAGCACAAGTGAATAGTGACGATAGTGAATCTTCAAAAATAACTCAAACTTTTGTTACACACAAGAAGCATGAAATATTTTTTTTCAAAGCTGCCAGCTGAAATCCACAAACTCCTTAATGAAGGAGGACACGAGGGTTCGGGCCAGAGTTTCTCCTTTGCACCATCTTCCCACTTTCTTTGCTGATCTGGAATTTTGCAGAGCACTTGCTGTTGACAGGACTGATCCTCGCAATGAACCTTAACATAAAAGAAATAATTCATTAGACCATTTCATTTTCTTTGTAAAGACTTTTTAAAGCATTAGTTCAGCCAAAATGAAAATCTTATGTTGTTAAAAACCCATAAAACTCTGATTCATTTTCGGAACACAAATTAAAATTAATATTCTCTCTTAATTTTTGTCTATCCAGGCAACCAAATTCTTTTAGCTTCAAAAGGTGCATAAAGACATTGTTAAAATAATCCATATGATTCGAGTGGTTTAAGATGCCTAATTGGTTCTCAAGCATGTTTGAGATTCTGTTTACTACATGTGATGTACTCTATGTATTTGGATGATTAATGTTTATATGTGAATAAAAGCTTTAGGATAAATTTTCTGTCTTTATGCACTTTTTGAACTGGAATATTTTGGTTGAGTATACTTTCAGTGGATGGACAAAAATTTGATTATTTAAAATATCTTCATTTGTGTTCCAAAGATGAACGAAAGTCTTACGTGTTCATACAATTTTATAGATCACTACAGAGACACACAATTAGACCAACTATCCACAAAACTATTTCGAAACGTCGAAATTCGTCGAAACGTTTCGAATTATTCAAAAGTGCTGAGATTAGATTTTGTGCCATCTATGGTCAAGGAAAAAAAGGGTGGAGCAGGTCATCTTGCTTGTTGTACTCAATCACTATTTAACATTTAACATTAGCTGCCAAATATTATAGTCTCTTAAGTAAGGGTGGAGTTTTACATTAAAGATAAAATAAAAATAATAATTACAAACAAGCAACCATAATAACATTAATACAGAGAACCTTTGTATTAGTGGTGTTTATGGTCAATTACAAGTGTAAGAAAAAATAGTGAGAATATTGAAGATCTCAGTGAAGATGTTTATTGCAGCATTGTAAAGTATGGTACTAATAATAATAATAATACATTTGTAATGGTACAATCATCATTTTATTGTTTATATCTCATTATAAACAATAATATGATGAATCAAAAATACTGTGATCTAAAACGGAGAGGCAGTTTTAACATTAAGTGACATGACATCTGACCCACAGATGCCATTGGCACATGCCGCTATATGCTCAGTGACACTTCCGGTGGCACTTCCGGTTTTCAGTGGCATGTTACAACTTTTACTTGTCTATAACGATATTAAATTTTTTTAATGTAATAATTTGATATATTTTGAACACTAGATATTCCAAACTGAACTAACCCCCTCCTCTATCCTGGTTTTAACAGATGGATTTCACTAACTTTGGAGTGGACTGGGATGGTCCTGTTCCTGCCATGGATTGTGGTGTTGTTGAAGTTCCTGAGGCCCCTGCATCGCTTCAGGAGGCTGTACAGCGAGAAGTCACTCAACACATCAATCCTTTAAAAAGGTCAAGTCAGTGGTTTGGCTTGGATGTTTATTTGGAGGCACTAAGACTCAGTGAAACAGTCACTGTTTAGGGGCCCCAAGCAGTTTAGCTGTTGGTGCCTTGTTAAAAATTGTATTTGTAGTGAATGGTGTTATCAGATAAGGAATCTGTTGTAAGCTGATTTAAAAAACAACAACATGAAAGTAACTTATACAGTTAACTAATGTGATGGTTACAAAAACATAAGTGTATGTAATTTTGAAATGTGTCCAAAATCTTCAGAACCAGTGTTTAAGCATGACAACTGCAAATCAAAAATGTATCTTTAAAGTTATCTATTTTGTCACCATGTGAACTTGTGCAAAAACAGAAATGTCACTTTTTCAGAATATTGTATATTAAAGATCATTTGTAAAATCCACAAAAGCTTTACAGATCTTTATTGTAAAGTTGCTAAACAATGTTTTTCATGCTTGTTTTGCACATTCATATTCAATTTTATACTTGCGTCTAAATGCCACTTCTGATGCAGATTCTGTTTCCTCTGCAGTGGAAAAAATAATGGTAAAAGCATTACAGTGAATTATTCTAATTAACATGAAATTGATAGCCAAGGTTAGGGGAAAATTGCCTTTTTATAAAGGAAAAAAAATGCCTTGAGAATCCATTTCAAGGGATAGTTAAACCTAAATTATAATTCTGTCATCATTGACTTACCCTCTAGTTGTTCCAAATCTATGAGTTTCTTCTATTGAACTAAAAAGATGATATTTTGAATGTCAGTAACCAGACAGTTGACAGTAGCCAGTGACTTCCATAGTAGGAAAAAAAAATACTATGGAAGTCACTGGCTACCGTCAACTGTCTGGTTACTGACATTCAAAATATCATCTTTTTAGTTCAATAGAAGAAAGAAACTCATACAGGTTTGGAACAACTAGAGGGTAAGTCAATAATGACAATTTTTATTTTTGATTGCCCTATCCCTTTAAGGGAGCATATACAAATTTGATGATTTAAGTAACAGCTTACAGAACACTGATGGGAATATTGCTTCAGATAAATTAAATTTACAACACAAAAATTATAAACTTTACTAGATGTAGTTAGTTATTGCACCATCACAGTATTTGAAAAGAAACGTGAGGAGAGGGTGAGTCGCCAGCTGAGGAGAGTGAGTCGCCAGCGGTGTGAGGAAGGTGAGTCGCCAGCTGAGGAGAGTCAGTCGCCTGCGGTGTGAGGAAGGTGAGTCGCCAGCTGAGGAGAGTCAGTCGCCTGCGGTGTGAGGAAGGTGAGTCGCCAGCTGAGGAGAGTCAGTCGCCCGCCGTGTGAGGAAGGTGAGTCGTGGCAAACTCAGTAGCTCCTGGCAATAGTATAGTGACTTCCCGCAACAAGTTATTAGTCTTATTTTTGGACCTTCCGGCCCGCCATGTAGGAAAGCCCCCCAGAAATAATCCTTACGGTAAATTCCTTGTTTGTTTTATTTGTCTTATTTTTCCCCTCCTTGAAATTGCAGCCCTTATGTTTGCAGCAGATTCTTATGCATCAGCTGCCACCATATGCTTGTAAATGAAAGACACGATTGCAAACATTTCTCCCAGCAGAACCTTCTGCTAAATTATACTCGTAAATATTTTTAAAATGCTGGATTCATTTAATTTGTTACATTAATTTGAGTAATAATGAAATACAGTTAATAGCCTTACATAGTTAAGCCTTCAGATCCCTCACAGCTACACCCGTTTGGACTTCCTGCTTGGAATTCCCGGTATTTGTCAGTGCAGAGCGGGAAATGAACAACCTAAATACTGGCAGTACTGTGCCGGAAGCGATGATCTCCCTGCTCCGCTAACCGGGCCATTTAACATAATTCGAAACCGAAAACAGTCTAGTCCACCCCCTCTGTTGCGTCAGTCCATTCACAGAGCTATTGGCTCATTCCTCCGCCCACGGCCAACACCACAAAGACCTCAGACCAGTTTAAATCATGACCAGGCACTGTAGTTGTTCAGACAACGTCTGCTTCAGGATTCTTTCAACGCGCTTGCTTTTCAATTCGAAGAAGCAATTTCGAATTCAATTCGAATTTTGTGCAGTACTGAAATACTACTAAAGACCGTTGATTTATTCTGAAAGTATACATGCAAGCATTTCGTTCTGATTTAACTGTCGAAAAGCATCCTTGCACTTGGAGATGCCAGCTGCTGTCATGGACAACTTTGACCAGGGAAGTCCTTTCTCTCAAAGTGATTCTCAAAGTCCTCTTGATTGGGTAAGGAGTGAATTCATTAATTTAATGTGATTTTACTATGTATAAATATAATGCTGTTATTACAAGCAATAAAATACTTTATTACATATTTTGTTATATGTAGCTATAATATTTATTATCTCTCTGTGTGTGTGTGTGTGTATATATATATATATATATATAATTATTTGTTTATATATAAATAAATCCATATTTATATTGTAAATCATATATATGATCTGATAAATATCTTTAGAGCACACAGTCAGAGGACCACAGGCACCATCACAGAGAGAAAAACAGAGATGCAGCTCGCAAGAATCGCAGAAAACAGACAGAAAAGGCAGACGTGCTGCATGAGGTCAGTAGCTAATTGAAACCTTTGACACTCTCTTTTTCCCCTTTTGAATGGGTTTGTTTTGCTCAGTCCCTATTTACGTTACCTCTTCATATCCTTACTTTTGTTGTATCTTTTCATTCACATTACTGCACACAACTATATTTATACCTTTTGTACTTTATTATTGTTATTGTCAGCTACATAGCCTATATTCTTACTTGGAATTATGAAGTAATGCGCCATAATCATAACCTCCAGGAGAATGTGTACGTTTCTCTGGATGATTTTTTTTTTGTGTGTGTGTTTGTTAATGATTCGTTTGTAGTCTGTGTGTGTGTAGAGGAGCATTAGTATTGCACAACCTTTCAGTGCAGAGGAGGCATTTCTTGGAAACGCAGAGCATGACTGGGACAGCTTACAGATTAGTTACACTAGCGGCTGACTAGTTATTTACATGTCATACATTCACTTTCATTTTCACTTCAGATGATGTACAAATCTTGGACTTTACCTTTTTTTATCCAACCCAATAATCTCAGATCCCTTCCAAGACTAACAAAATATGAGGAAGTCTGATTTTTTTTTTTTTAAATGTGTAATATGTGTAATGACCTATGAACTTTACATGTGGGAAAAGCAGCTCAGGTCAAATCTATTTTAAATTACTTTTTATTTGACATTACTTGCATTACTGCCGCATTCCTTTCACTTTGTTACTTCTGCTTTTCAGCTGAATTCATGTCAATATTGTATTGTCTATAAACTAATTTATATATTTATTTATTTTTTGCCTAGGAACTCCAAACCCTAGAGCAGTCTAATACCACATTCATAAAAGAAATCGCTGAACTAAAGAAGGAGCTTCAATTCTACACCACAGCCTTGGAACAACATATACCTCACTGCACTAAACTGTGTCCATTTGAACCATCAGTTAGTGTTACAGGAGGACCGTCCACAGCTACACCCTCTACCTCAGATATCACCTTCAACTCTGACCCCAACCTCTTGCCGGAACTTGCGTTCTTACCAGACACTAATTCAGGGGACTTATCTCTAACAGACCTCCTCGACAGTAGTGATTGGTGTCCATGGGACTCGGTGAATGGAAATGGGTGTCTACAGCAGTTTTGAGGTGCTGTACAGTCAGTTATTTGGTCACAAGGCTTACACACTACTACATCCTGCAAACAGCCCTTTTTGTTGTGTTCAAATACTAATGGTGCTAAAAACCATGATCCATTAAAGAGGTCATATGATGCGATTTCAAGTTTTCCTTTCTCTTTGGAGTGTTACAAGCTGATTGTGCATAGATAAGATCCCTGAAGTTGCAAAGACTAAAGTCTCAAAACCAAAGAGATATTGTTTATCAAAGTTAAGACTCTGCCACGCCTACCTAAAACGGCTCGTTCTAACACGCCCCCACATATCTACCTCACTATGTGGAAATATTTGCATAATGCGCCCAAATGTGCACGCAAAGAAAGAAGGCGTGGTTTCAGTAACCGCAGTTAGTGTTGAAGCAGCCATGTCAGGGAGACGCTGTGTGTTTCTAGGCGAAAGCAAAAGCACTTTATTTGGCCTTCCGAAAGTAGATGCATTTAGGAATCTTTAAGATGACTTGCAACAGAACAGCAATGCATTTTATGGACGACCGTTTCGTGAACCTAGGAGAGGAGGTAATTCTGACTTTGCTATGACAATCTGGCGCTTCTGAATCAGCTACTGTTTTGTTATTAGTTCAAGTATTTGCTATTGACTGTTCAAATGCGGAGTTTTGCGCATTGTGCGTGCGTGCGTGCGCGCGTGTGTGTGACAGAGAATGAGAGAGAGATCACAGTGGAGTCAGCTGTCTTAACCGTGGCTTGTGTACTGCACACATAGCAGCTTTTCATCACTGTCTGTCACGAGACTCTGTTCCCCTTTCGGGCTCTGTCATTACATGTATTTTGAAAGATGAAGCTCGCGATTATGGCAAGGGACGTGCTCTGTCTTTACATTTATTTTAAAAGATGAAGCTCGCGATTATGGTAAAGGACGTTACATTTCCGACGAGTGCTTGCGGTGTTCAGCCAATCACAATGCACTGGGTCAGCTGGCCAATCAGAGCAGACTGCGTTGGTCGGAAGGAGGGACTTTGTAGAAAACGAAGCGTTTGAAAGAGGTGGGGCATAGAGGACCTACAATAATGTACAGTATTTGAAAAATAATAATGTGAACATTAAAGCATGTCAACATATTCTGTTACACCAAATACATAAAATAATGATCTTTAAAAAAGCATCATATGACCCCTTTAAAGTGTGAATATGTTGTTTTGTATAATTTATTTAAACAATACTTACAGATGGCATTTACATGTAGCTATATTTTAGATATGGGCATTATATTTTTTTTATATGTAAGACCACAGCCTATGTTGGGCTTATTGATTCCATACTTTAATCCATTTTGATTTGTAATATGAAAATGTTCAGTTATTTCATAAATTATTTTTAATCATTTGAAGTGTTATTTATTGAAATATGGGTCAATGACACTCATTCTTTATTTAAAAATACATTAAAGATTAAAGCAACTGTGTGTAGTTTTGTGTATTTGGGCAATTTTGGAGCTCCTTCTAAATATATAATGTTTCAAGGTACTGTAAAAAAGGTGCATGCAGTTGCTTTAATGTCTTACAAGACATGCTACACAACATACAGTATATGCCAATAACACAGCAGTGGTACAGGTATCCCCTGGCAACATATACAGTCAATCGCTGTCTTACAATACAATGACATTGTGAAGGAAGAAGGAGAGAAAGATGAACAAACAAACAAAAATCCAGAATAGATGAACATATACGTAGAACCAAAATAGGTACTGAGTTCAGTGGAATTTAATAGTCAGCCCAAAGAGTCATTAGGCCTCTGATGTAAGTCATAGGTTAGTTTTTCTAATGGTTTAAGAGAAGTAGCCTGACTCAGCCACATACTGACTGGCTGACCGTTAAAGAAATATAATTTTTTTTACAAAATATATACAAATATTTAACTCTTCATTCTGTAGCATGGTCAAGACACAATTAAAATGTTACAATTCAAAAGATATGCATTCGGAGACAGTATGCAAAGGATTTACCAGTAATCTTCTGTACAGCTTTGTGAAGCTCCCTCCATCCTGTTGCAGTCCCAAAACACATGTATCACAATGTCAACCTTACATGTAAAACACAACTGGGAAACTTTGAGAAATATTTTATGAATGTGAAATGGCGTTAGGTACGTCCTGTGAATAAACTTAAAATTTTGTTCATTGTTCGAAAATTATATATTTTTTGAATTAGAAATAATGTTTTAGTGGGGATTATAGTGAAAAAAGCGTAACTGTAGATTGCCTATAAAATAAAATAAAAGGAGGTGGTGTATATAAATTTGACAATTTTTAATTCTTCATTTTTCACCTCAATATCTCTTCATGAAGATATAGCCTAGACAATTACATCCACCCTTGTGCTTATTGCAGAGTCTCGTTTTTTGGGGGGGGGTTTAATGTACCACGAGTGAGAGACGCGTCAAATTGAACACCGATAGCTTTTACTCCACCATCCCTCTGTCTACATTTTTGACCAGGTTAGATAACTTTTGTCTTTAGTCGATCCCTGCTTGTTGATTTTACTTTCTCACCTCAATATCTCTTCATGAAGATATAGCCTAGACAATTACATCCACCCTTGTGCTTATTGCAGAGTCTCGTTTTTTGGGGGGGTTTAATGTACCACGAGTGAGAGACGCGTCAAATTGAACACCGATAGCTTTTACTCCACCATCCCTCTGTCTACATTTTTGACCAGGTTAGATAACTTTTGTCTTTAGTCGATCCCTGCTTGTTGATTTTACTTTTTAAATCCAAAAGAAAAAATATTTTGACTAAATAACAAGCCTTTAGGAGCCAGTTCTCGCCTTTGGTTTCCTTCCTCGAACAATCTTCTGCCGAGCACCACCTTCGCAGCGATGGAGACCCCCACAAAGCTACCTCCGTCGAGCCCATCATCGCCGACCACGGGCTTCTCTGTACCAAGCGCAGAGAAAGTAGACGGCTTCCCCCGCCGCTCGATGCGCCGTGCCCGGCAGCGACGGTCCCACAGCTCCTCACAGTTCCGCTATCAGAGCTCCCAGGTGGAGCTCACGCCGCTGCCCTTACTTAAAGGTAGGTTCCTTTAACTGGGACGTGAGGTGGTTGGTTTTTAGTTGCATGTTAGTTAGGAAACGATGAGAATGAAAATAAATCCCCTGATATTGAAATAGGCTATTACAGCCATTTTGGTGGTTATGAACTCAATGTCTTCTTGAGCATCCTTGAGAGATGTCATGGTACCTCCATAAGGACTCCAAATGTAACTAAATCTTCTGAGGACTCCTCTGTGAGGAACACAGGTAGACTCAGCAGAATTTTCATCTAATGATAACGTCATTCAAAGGTATATAGCCTAAACTAAAAGATTCAATGTTTTGGCTGAATTTATGTTGGTTATATTTGTTGGAAAGCAATTTTTGTAACTTTAAATTCGGCTCAACTCAGATAGGCTGCCTTGTGTCGGGTAGCAGAAACCTAATTGAGTAATCCCAGATTATATATATATATATATATACAACTATCTGAAATTAAATCGTTTGCAGTACTAGCTAGCATGGCAGTGTAACTTTTCGTATGATAAAATGTAGGATGTTGGCTAGAGATTGCTCATTGCAGTGGGATTTAAATAGTAACTGTTCAACATAAACCATAGATTCTATAACACAAAAACACACAAAAAATAACATTTCTAGTCAACAGTCTTATGCAAAGTTAGCTTGAAATCAGAAATTCCTTGTCCAGTTTAGTTAATGGCAACAAAATGTTTTCATGTAGTCCAAAACAAATGCATTGAGTAAACTTATTTTTTAGAAATGTAAGCGTTTGGCATGGCATGAAATTATAGTAATTGTTTTTGCATTACCTTATTTTAAATAAGTTAATTTAACTAGAAGGAAAAAATAGTTTTTGAATCCATTGTTCTCTCTTGTCATAATCAGTGCCAAGTACTTTGTTTTAGTTTAGGAAGCTTTGTGGTTAAAAGCATCCTCAGGCAGGAGACTGTAATAGTTCTACTTCCATGAGCTCATTTTGGCCATCAACCTGAAGTGATGGAGAAACTGTAAGCCACAGACTGGGAAGTGGCTGGGGAAGTAACTGTATTGAGTGTGGGGGAAGTTTAGCATAATCCATTAATTTATAGAAGTATAAGACTGACAACATTTTGTAACAAGAACCTAGAAAGCTCAGGTAAACAGCAATATATAGAGAGAAAGAGAGAGAGAGAGTGTGTCTTAAAGTCTTAAATAATAAAGATGAGATGCATAGCACCTAATTTTCAGAGTAGCTATGAAACTTTGTCATATTTTTCACAAAGAATACACAGATGCAGTGTTATCCCCACAGTTTGTGCACGACTTCATGATTCACACTTTAGCAGGATATGATTCACTTAGTCTAATACGGGAATCATCTGAGCGACATTTCCAGTGAAGTTGGGTTTAGTGGTACCAGTTTTCATGAGACACTCCAGCTGAGGGTGTGCTGCCAGTTGGTGTGTCACAGGGGGTCCAGACTGAGCCTCTGTCCTGTTTAACCATCTAACTGACCTGCTTTTAGTCATTCACATGCCACTGAGACACATCTCCACTGTAAATCAACATTTAATTTCTTCTTACTAGGTACAATGTATTTATCAACCCATATTACTAGCTATAGGTTTATTTAGCTCTGGTTTCATTTCATAAACTGTAACTGTATAAAATGCACTGTTGGATGTGGTATTGTCTTTGATTATACCTCATAAAGCATAATTTTCATGTAAAATATCATCAAACCACTGACAAATGCTAGCCATGTAAAAAAAGCTGTTAACTGTTGATGAAACTTAGGTTTTGATCAGTCTCAATTTTGGGATCTTTCTTAATTGTACTTAACTCAAAATAGGTAACGATTATTATATCCCTTATAGCAAAAAACAAAGTGAAGCCTCTTTAATGATCACAACATCTAAATAACACTTATTAGAATGGCAGTCAGTAGTACATGTATACATGGACTGGTAAACGTTTACTGTCGTCTGCTTTTTTTGTTTGCAACTTGTACCTGCTACATATTTAAGATCCATTAATGGTATGGCATATTTAGATGTGACATATATAGTGCCGTTTAAACACAAGATTAGCTTAGCAGAGCATGACAAACACCACCTGACACAGAACCTGTGTGTTTGTTTGGTCTCTGAATTTACCTGCGAGTCTCTATCTGTGTGCAGTAGAGGGAAAGTGAGGAAAACGGCTTTGTGAGATGCTCAGTCCAAAACATGACCTGAATCTTTAATTGGTCGAATGGCCAAAAATAGGGCCAAAACTGCCAGGTTTGCTAGCCTGGGTTATTAGTTACCGGAAAAAAAAGACTGTAGATATGTTAATGGTGTGAGCCATTGGTGGTGCTTACCCTCATTTGTGGACCTTCGAGTTCTGCTCTTCAAGTTAATTTGTGTTATTTTTTCCATTTAACCCTCTGGAGTGACTTCATTACTAGTCCTCGTGAGTTTGTGAGCGTGTGTCTCTGTAAATAGCTGCCACTGCTGGAGGGTGCTGGAGTGTCTTCCACATGGACAATGGGCAGCTCAGAGCTCTCGGTCTGCAGATTCAAAACTCCCAAATCCATAAATGTAACAGAAATGAGTGTTTTTAGACAGCTTCTCAAATCTGTTAGCAAATCACCTTGGAGTTTGATGATTACTGTACTTGTGTACTATAGTTGAAAATCATTGTTTCAGGGAAACAAATATGTCTGTGTATAAGAAAATGATTTTTTTCGGGGCGGGTATATATCTGCCTGCTTCTTCCTGCAGGGTCCAGCTGGTCAGGGCCGGTATTAGGTTACAGTACACAGAAGGCCTGCTCCCTCTCTGGCCTCCTCCGATCAATAAAGAGGGCAAGAGAGGAAGAGGGAGAGAATAAAAAGGGGGTGAGTGAGTGATTATAGAGACAGGGAAGAGAAAAAGAGCATTAGAGAAAGAGAGAGTGAAGTGGATAAGCATGTGAGGCTATAAGTGGAAGAACACTGTACTAAGGGAGAGCTATTGTTGAGAACAAGATTTGTTGAGCCATACTTGTCCTTGTCTATAGAAAGTGAAGGAAAATATATATAAATCCCCCCCCCCCCCCCCCC